TAGCTGGTAGAGTGTTTGCACATCTGCAAGAGCATTGTGAGCTTTATAGGATTTACACAGAAGATCTTGTACTAGGTTTTCTTGGCTATGGGATTTCCTTTCAGGGAGCAATTCCCTGAATGCTGGAAGAGAGTCTATAAAGCCAGAAACTGTTTTAACTAAGTCCTACATGACTCCATTTTTCTCAGCTGCTTGCACCAAGAACCTGGCATCAAAGGATTTGCAATTGTGTGCGACTAAAATGCAAGGCATTCTTGATTTGAGCCACTCAGTAAAGGTCTTCAGGGCCACATCCATTGCAATGGCATCAGTGATTGGCTTCCCATCATAAAAAAGTATTCCTCTTTGGAAGGTGAGTTTGTTCACAGCAGATGCTTCTGGTGATATTACATTACAAGGCTTGATATAATAAGAGAACTCATCTTTACCATCTGTTGCTGCAATTTCTAGGATTTCAGCATCATTACCAGTTTTAAGATATTGTAATCCAATTATTACTTTACAAAGATATTACAAAGAAAAATGTAATAAAAAAGCTTAGTGCATCTATGTGGGGTATATCTAAAATAAAAATAGAAGGAGTGATTTCTGAATACCTGTCCTGCTAATTTGCATCTCACCTATACTTGGCTTTAAGAGCAAGGCATGATAAAACAAAGGAATCTATGTGATGCAAATTAGCAGGATCAGTATTCAGCAATCTAGCAGAATAGAACAACATTTCCACGATTAAATAAATTATTCTCTAATATGCAATTCAGAAATACCCTGCTAAGACAAACATGGTTATATTCACTTCGTTACTTTTTCGTCAAACTCCACCCTGCAAAGCTAATTACCCCTTCCAGATGTTTCCAAATTAAATATAATTTGATGGTAGTCTTTTATTAATAATACTCTCTCAATCATTGAGGCTGCAGGGAGTGCTGGAATTTCCTGAGCAACATTGTGTCCATCAAAGCCCATTCCAGAACTATACTGTTGTCCTTCTCTGTTCTCAAGCTCTTTTCTCTTTTTCAACCACTTCTCTTTCTTCTCAATTCTTTTCTTCTTGTACTCTCATGTTTTCTGTTTCTCTTTCAAACTTAGAATTTTCTTGTCCATTTTCTTTGCAAACTTTAAGGAATTGGAACCTGGAGATAGTTGTGTCTTCATAAAAGCCTAAGAGAAATTCACCAGTCTTAGTGTAAACCATATTCTAAGTTATAATACAGTGATGTTTTATTTGTTTTTTTTGTTTTTTTTTTTTGTGACTTATGATATGCAATAGGTGCTGGTAGTACAACACTGGACACACTGGATAATGTGTAATGTTCAATGGATCTCACAAACTGGAAAGTGTACAAAATGCTCATAATACTATATCTGCTTCCCTGAGAAACATAAGAATGGCCTAAGTTCTTTTGGCCAACAGCACATGTAACACGGAAGTCATTGCTTTCACTAGATCCGTAGTTTCTGATCTTTGAAGCTTTGCTTCCTCTAGTGTTGTTTAGTGCTTCATGTGCCTGGCGTGACCCAAGGGGAGCTAGCTTCTTGGCATTTGAGGCATAACCTAAATTGAGGAAGCAAATGGTTTTTATTCACTAAAATTTGGTATCTCATAAAGCTTATGAAACTGAGAAAGACGTTGATAGTCCCTGAACACTTATAGCTTTATCCCTTGCAGTTATTAATTAAAATACAATCATAAGCACTAACACTATTTTCTAAGAGTTGTGTTCCTCTACTACATGTAAAATGGTGGAAATTGGGAATTTGTGGGGAGCGAGCTGTGCAACCATACATGTACACTGTACTTACTTCTATGATCTTTTCCAGGGACTGCCTCAAGCTTTTGTTCATCAGATCCTTGCCATGGGGAAGGCCTCTGTGTTTGTAGGATGCAGGATTTTTTAAGTAGCCACACCAGTTGCCACAGGAAGAATGGTCACCATAAGCATGGGGCACAATAGACTTCAGACCATTTTGCACACCTTTTTCATCAACCTTGTTTTGCTTTAGTGCATAACCAAGCATCGCTGGAAATACTGTATCACCATATCTGTCAGGCTTT